TTTAATCGGAATGAGCTAAAACTTTCTACGCAACATAAAAACATGTATATGTATCAGGAAAAAATATAAAAATGGAGAAATCTCATCTTTTCATTTTTGGAGAAATTTGGCCAAAGTCCCTGTACTATAGTACAGGGACTTTGGCCTGATTTTGGAGCAACTTTAAAAATTCATAAAAAAATTCAATTTTGATTGGAATCAGCTCAAGCTTGCATGTATTATTACTACTGTGTTACACTATTGCTATTATTGTATAGTCAAGAAGATAATGACAGTGGCCTGGATGACATATGGGATTTCAGCGTAGACTCTCCAAGTGATAAAACAGGAACCATCAAAAGAGGCTCAACCTCTTCAACGGATTCATCTCCTTCTTCCTCTGAGGTACACTATCACTACACACCATCTCACTGGCATAGTCAGATGTACATGTATGATGTATATGCCTTAACTTTTACTCTTCTTTCTCCATCTTTTAGAATGCATATCCCCCATCTACCAGTGAGCCAATATCGACTAGTCTATCAAAGATAATAATGCCATTACTGGCCCAGGTTAGTTATAACAGTGTAGTACATTAAATGTATAATTTCTATGCCTCATTATCAAGATATTGACTCAACATTGCTTAGTATTGTAAGATTATGAGCTGCTTTCTCTCTCTGTGTTTAGTTTGATGCACCAGTCGACGGCAACTGGCGTACCAGTGGACAGGAAGCAATGGTCTCCATTGCTGAGCTAATGGCCGCCTTCCGCGAGGTAGAGGAAACAAGACCAGGATTCTGTGACGAACTTGTTCAACGTTTCGTTTTATTTGTTCGTTCGCGGTGTCCCACGACTAACATACCTGCATCATCTTCTACCTCTCCCTCTCCTTCGTCTGAAGCAGCTGGGGGCAGGTCACAGAGGAGGTCGCCAAACGTGTAAATATTAATATTTATTATCTTAAGCTCATCTTTTCTCTTTTTTGTTAATTTTTTCCTTTTTATTATTATTTTCAATCAGTCATCACTCCATGATACTTATGTATTTACTGGCTCTCTTTTACATTTAAACTGGCAAATTGTTATCCTTCTTTGATATGAAAATTAAAAATGAATGTTTTTCTCTGTCATGTCTCCGCCCACTCAATTGAGCCACACCCTAAGTCCCTAAACATTGCATTTGCAGCAGCGCAAAGCCATGTCTGCAGCAACAGCAACAAGATGGTCTTCAAGTGCTCGACTTGGTTCGGCACTCAACAGGAGAAGAGACACACCAGGTAGTGCTTTGGGGCGACCAAAGGCAAATGTATCAAACGCATCAGAAGTAAGCACACGATGCCATTAATATTGAGGATTTTATTACCCACAGCATGAGGAGAGACCAAAATCATCAGCCATCAGGCCACTATCAGGTAAAGTGGTGATGAGACGAACAGTTAAGAGAGGATGGACTGCTAAAGCTATTCCCCCTGGAGGGGGTAATGCTAGCCTGATAGACCTTGAGGAAGAGGACGAGCTGCTGGGGTCAGAAAAAGGATCACTGGACTCCTTCTTTGATGATGACTTCGAGGATCAGACAAAAGAGGAAGCTCTAGGGAAAATGCTCTTTTGCAACACACTGGGAGTTGAATCCAAAGTAACCATTGATATTGATAGATACAATTTTTATTCACTTAGCCCAGTAGATACTAATAAAATTGCAATAATTATGAAGAATGTATAATATTAGTTTATTATAATAATCTTCTCTTAATGCAGGGACACAAGAAGGACTGGGTTTCAGGTGGTCTAGCAATCCCGGACTTCCATTGTCCTCGTTGCCGTGATCACTGGTACGGCATCTCAGCTTTTCCTTGTGATGAGGAACTAGCTCGTTTGATAAGAGAAGGAAAGTGGTACATTGGGAAAGATAAAGGAAAGGCCGAGGGAGGAACGAATGCAGGGAACAGGGAGAGATCTAAAGAGGATAAAGAAATGACAAGCGGTTCCTCTGATTCTCTCTCCCTCCCCAGCATACAGAAAAGGAAAGGGACTGGTTTTCAGATTAATAAGTCAGAGCATCACATTGATTTCGTTTCTCCGGAAGCAAGAGAGAAAAAGAAAAAGAAGCAGCGTATATCATTTAAACTGGATCACGAAGACGAGAATTTTGGAAACAATTCCTCAAACACGTCCCTTGAAGGAACTGATGGTAACAGGAGGAGGTATGGAGGGAAAAATGAGCAATATTCAAATGGAGGGCATCGAGATGGACAAGTCAATGGTAATGGAGAATATGAAGGAGCAACAAGAAATGGAGAGTCAAAGGCTAGTGATGTTAACAGTGGGAGCTCAGCTACTCTTCTGTCAAGAGTTGATGGGTCTGATGGAAAAGGATTCGGTTCAGGCGAAAGAGATGGATTGAATGACACAGAAGATGGATTAGGAAAGGGTAGAAGAAAAAGGAGAGGAGGCAATGATGGATCTAGTAGTGATTTGGAGGATGGTCTCCTGCAAGGCTCCTCAAGAAATGGAGGGAATTCAAAATCAGGTCTAAAGTCTGGGACAGGTGCTGGAGGCAATGATGAAAATGGATCCAGAGGCAAGAACGGATCTAGGCTATCTTCAGATGATGGTAGTGGCCAGTGGGGAAGAGGAGGGAACAAGAAAAGAGAAGGAAATGGTCATGGTGCTACCGGAAGCAATGATGGCTCTGGATCAAGTAATGGTGATGGTAGTACTACTGGGAAACAAGGAGAAGGAGTAGATGGAGGAAGAGGCAGAAATAATGGAAGACAAGGAGACTCTTTAAGTTCAAGTCAAAGAGGATCCCGTAGCAGCCTCCACGGAGGTAATTCTCAACACTGGGGCAGCAGAGATAAGGAGAAAGAGCTAGTAAAAGGGAAAGGCTACATGAGAGCATCCAGTCCTTCTCAGTCTGACTGGGCAGACCCGACTCATGCAAGGATGTGGGCATCAAACACTGCCAGTTCTTCAAGAGTATCTCTAGCTAGTTCCACTACTCACAAACACAATAAAGATGAAGATTCAATGGGAGAAGGCAAGGGAAGGAAAATCACTCTTCCACCAATCATCAACAAGAAAAGAGAGAATCCATTTGGAGATTTGAGTTTCATGGAAGGGTTTGAGTTGACAAGAGCTTTTACATTTTCATATCATTAGACAAATGAACAACACAATAATGTATAATTTTAACTTCATGTCTTTCATTCATTATTTCTATTTACTGCTTTATAATGATGGTGTATATATGTAACATAATTCAGTTGTTTTTATGTTTCAGTATTACGTTTATAACACATCACTATGGTGCTATTTGAACTATGATTAATGCAACTCTATTAT